TGTAGCTTAAGATGAACTGAGAATACACATGCGGTTTTGTTAAATAAAACTCTTTGACTCTAGTGAATAGATTATATTGACAATAACATCTATACAACAATTCGAGAACGTCTCCAGAAAAAAAAAGTTTCATCTATATAACTATAGAAATGGGTCCGAAAGCATCGAAGCAGACGAAAATAACAAAGAGGCATGAGGGAAGTAAGCTTTGTGCTACACTATAGTTTCCCTTCATATCTTGGGTCAAGAAAAAGAATAAATAAAAGTTAATATCATGTTCGTCCTCTTCGTGTTCACTGAGAACAATTCCCTTGAAATGTAACTTTATAATATCTGGTCCGCCGTCAGTGATACAACAATAGAAGGTTGCTGTCAAATACAACAGTGTGTGTGTGTCTGTGTGTGTATGTGTGTGTGTGTGCACGCACCAAACAACTTGTATAAAGAAAAAAATGTAGTTTCAGGTCATGACGTAGAAGAACGATTACATGAAGCAATTAGTATTAACGTTCAACAACGTACATTAAACTTAAAATGAATGACACATATTATTGAAGTCCTCGTAAAACTGAAATTTCTGCCTTTACAGCCTACCTTAAGTAATAAGTGGGTGACTAAATCGATCGTTGGTTGATGCAAACAGCATCTTAAACTTTTACTTATTTATGCTTTTATTTCTTTATTTTCAGCAAAATATACATCGACGAACTGAAATAGTTGGTATCTCCATTGCATCAGTCAATTTCTATAATGATATTATTCAAGTTCATAAGAAATAGGTGATCTGTACCAATAACAATTAATTTAGTTTATTTAAGTTTATATGTGAAAATAAAGAAAGTTAGCTTTTAACGTGGAAAAGTGTGCACACTGCATGCATTTAGAACATGTACAATTTAGTGTTTCTTTATTTCCATACCTATATTTTTAAATGCGTATCGACAAGATAAAATGATCTACTACGAAATGTCAAACTAAAGTCATTTGCATGCTGTTGCTTGCCATTGGTGTGATATATATATGGATCGTGTTCAAAAATTATCTTTGGCCATGTGAGATGTTCCACTTGGTTAACAGTGATTATCCTCCAGCATGGATGGATATCTCGGCTGTTTGATACACTATTATTAACAAATTTAAAAGTCGTAATTTAAAGTCGTAAGTCGTAATTTAAAGTCGTAAGTCCTAAACTCAATTTTAAGCTAATATGTATGGTTTCCACAAATAAAAGGAGACACATATTCTGTTTAACTACATGACGACATTGTTGCAGGAAATGAAATAGTTGTCTTTTTAGAAGATGGTGTTTTGGTCGACCTTGACATACGATCAATTAGTATTACAAAACTCGGATGCAGATTACTACAAGGAAGAGTTTTGCAATTTTATCATGTGTTTCTTTTTGTACCTATCTGACTGAATGTTCAGACAGCAAGTAAAACATACAATAACCATCCTGCTTGCTCAATATGCCTTACTTGGAATATTGTTACTTCTGCTTTTGTTGTACTACAAAAGTCTCATGCTAGGGTTGCTTTTGAAGCAACGGTCAAAAATCAACAAATTAAAAAATGCGATATCTGCCCTGATACTAATGGCATTAATTTGGTTTGTCCAAGTTGAAAGAACCGATCGATTGATTACAGCGTCAAGTTATGTAGTAACGGGGATAATACTAGGCTGCATAATCTTGACAACCGTTTTTATAATGGCTCTTTTCCTCGTGTATATTAATATGCTGTGCTGTTTCCACTTATGTTTTCCGTTAAGTTTTTTTTTCATGAACCCACCCGCAAGTATTTAATCCAGCAAAATTAGATTTGATTGTGTAAGATAAATTAAAGCGTTTGTGAAAGAATCTTTTCCGTCTCCATAAACAATGCCTTTTAAAACATGATTAATCAGTTTGGAAACATTTCCACAAGACACTAAGTATAAGCACTTAACCCAATAGGAAACACATCCCATTGAAAAATAGGACAAGAATGTATCTCAGCATTGAGGCTTATTAACAAGTGATAACATCCGACACGTTGCCTGACGGATAAGAGCCGTTTTGTCTATGCAAGCCCAAGTTTAAGTAAAAGCGTGCCTTTATGTTTCTACATTCACTAAGTTTCGTTGGCTATCAAGTTGCAATAGTTTCTTTTAAACTTTGCACGTCTCAATAAGTAAGGCATAGACTAGCCTTTAAAAATATAAAATGGCTTTTTGAAAACTTGGGCCTCTGGAATTTTTATTAGCAATCTCCTTCGAGTTATTACTTGCTAATCATCTCCATGATCTATTCTCTGGAATTCAAGTGGATGACAGCCGCTTCACTGAGGCGACATAACTCTTCAGCTTAATTGACGCATAAGTGTATAGTTGCTATAGCAACGCCACTCGATTTACATTACAACAGTGAAGGTTCTCCGAAAGGTGGTGTCCAAGAGAGCTCTGTCTACTCTTTATGATAATGTATCGATTGAAAACTGTCTAGCATTCAGAATGTATATGACGGTAACTTCATGCTTGATAATTCTACGGGAATATTAATCGATGAGGCCACAAAAGGAACTTCGTTGTAGACGTTTCCTTTTCTAGACTTTAACATATTTCAACTACATCATTTATTTTTTTAATATACCTGAAATAAAAGAGAATATGTACATTGTAAAAGAAACTTGGACATGTCACTGAACCATGCAAGAAACGGTAAGTTGCAAATTATTGCAAGAGTGTGGTTAATCAAAATAAATCAGATAAGATGTCACTAGATACAAATGTCAGGTCAAATTTAATCCAAGAGAATGATTGAGACACATCGTATCAGAATACGCCACTCAATCAATAAATCATTAGATGCCATGTTGTTTTCGTATCAAGAATTTATAAAAAAAAAAAAAATTATCTCTATCAAACTGTTAACTTCTTTTATGCCTAACCTGATTCTTGCAAAAACGCTTGGAAGGCGATAACACGATCACTCTTTATGTTATATTTGTTTCCCCCGAAAACTTCCCGATATTTTGTTTCGCAGCTGCGTTGAATGTTGTATGACTCATCTAAAAAGTTCCTAGCAAATGAAAAAGTAACTATTTTTGCACGGTAAAAAAAAAAATTCTATCATTTTTATTCCCCTCTTTTGCACCTCAACAGATGGTCTCTATCTGTTTTGGCCTGCGTCCAAATAAATGTCAAAGATAATAGACTAGAGCACATGAGTTCTGTATTTATAAATTTTTCAACCTTTACAGAGGTTCCACAAAGGAGACTTCTATTTTCTCCCCCCTCATATTTTCGAAATAAATAAGTTTATATAGAGAGAAGAATATCTAATGAAAAATCGTAAATAATCTTAGCCATTAGTAATGGTAAACCATCTTTATATTAATATATCTGAACATATATAATCACGAAAAGTAATTTTGTTCTTGCTTAATTTAATTATTTACCAACTCAAAATCTGTAGTATACAGCAATTATTTCCATTGGCAGTAAACCTAAACACATTTTTTTCTTCGTTTTTTTTTTTGTTGCTTGTTTGTTTTCCTTTTGTAGACTATTTGTTGGGGTTTAGGGAATTTGTTTTGTTTTTGGTTTGGTTTGGTTTGCTTTGAGGTTTTGTATTGAAGAAAATACCGTAAAACACCCAAAAACAATATTACAGATAATAACTTACCCGCCAATTATCCCCCGCTCACATTTACTTTTAATGTAAATAGTTCAGGGCCTGTGAACTTTACACTGCACTCATATCCAGCCGTATTATCCAACTTGAATTATAATCCTTCTTTTTTACTTTCTTTTGCAAAACATTTCCAGGTCAAGAAATACTCTTCTCCACAAAAGACATATGTTCCTTATATACCCATACTTTGTACTTAATTAGTATATCATACTAAAACACATACTCTGAATCATATCCCGGTGAAAATAACATGTACATGTTGTCATATTCACGACAACTATAATTATCAACATCGAAAAAAAAATATCAATATATGTGGGCAAACAAACGATTGCATGATTTACTCACAGCTTGCAAATTTGTGACAACTAAATAATGGACAACAGCTTTTAAAATAAATAGTAAGGAGTTTATAATTTGCCCTTGTCCTAAATCTCGATTTCATGCTTACGTTAGTAAAGAAGGCTAAGACGGCCGAAATTCATCATTGCCGTCTTTCCTTGTGATATTGAAAATGAAGTAGATAAAAAAAACCTACAAACTACATATCAAGTTAAGGTACTTAGTGATAGATGGTTGTGGTATGGGGTTTTTTCTACCTTACCGTCTGGCGTAAGAATAATAGCAGTAGGTAGCGAAAAAGCAAAGAAATTATCATATTTGTATGCCATGTGATTCGTAGTCAGAACATGGTATACAAGGGGTACAAAAATTGTAGGGCATACAATAGGTGTAGACAAATATTAAAAAGCCCTAGAGACTGCCCCAATCCTTCACCAACCAGGATATGAAATATCTAAGCAGACATTGTGGCTTAAAACATGCGACAGATAACGGAAGACAATGAAACAATACAAGCGAGCGTGGTGAAGATGTTAAAGATAAAATAACCATGTCAATGACGAATAATACTACCAGATATAAGGAGAGCCAAGGACATCAACCAAGTTACCTTTCAAGAGAAAACAAGTAGGCAAGACAAAGTAGCCAAACCAAGTCCAAGCGGCTAGTAGACGTAAGCAAAGAACGACCTTACTGAAATACCGAGGCAAAAAATATAATACACGGCCAGGAAAAAATCTGGATAACCAAGAGACGGAAGTAATCACCTCGGGTGAAAACACCAACTCGGAAAGACAAAAAGATGAATAACTGGAAAGGAAACCGAAAATGAAGAGGACAATTGCAATCCGTCTTAGAACAGTCTGTATCAGGAAGATGAAAAAGAAGATAAAGAAACGTACCGACAAAAGTTCATTCCTAAATAAATTGTTATCAAAGAATACTATAGATTTTAAAAGACTTTATATATTACATTTTGAATCCGGAACCGCTCCGGTGGCTTAGTGGTTAGAGCGTCCCCCTCGGATACGGGAAGTCGTGGGTTCTATCCCCGCTCGATTCATACCAAAGACTTACAAAAATGGTACTAACAGCTGCCTTGCTTGACGCTCAGCATTAAGAGGTTAGTGTTAGGATTGATCGGTCTGGTGTCATTATAATGTGACTGGGTGAAACATAATGCTACATGTCTGCGGCATGATGCCCCAGTGCTAGACATCACTATAAACTGCCACACTGCAGATATCGTACCGATATGACTGAAAATGTTTTAAAGTTACATTAAAAATCATAATCACATCATAATCATATTTGGAATCCAAAATAAAAACTAAATTTAAATTACTAACAAAATGGAGAGTACCCTGTTTTTGGAAGTACTTTTCCATACAAATATATGCCCTTGTTTTACGTGTGCATATATATATATATATATATATATATATATATATATATATATATATATATATATATATATATACATGTACATACATACATACATACATACATACATACATACATACATACATACATACATGTATGTATGTGGGTGCGTGTTTAGGTGGGGTGGGGGTGGGGGTGGGGGTGTGTATTGTTCGTATGAACGTGTTCATGAACAATGCATATGGGTATCTTTACTTTGTTTCGAACAATCCTTTCGTATTAATGCACAATCTTGATAAATAATATATGCTATGAAGAAATTTTCCCACTTTTATAAATTTACAAATTTCTCTCTAATTTTACTTAAGGTGTTCTCTGTGAGTTTGACATCTATGTGATCCAGGTTTTTCTGTAAAAAAAAAAGAAATAAATATATATAAGCTTTCTAAATGACTCATGACTATATATTTTGAATTTTACTTATCCCATTGATATTATAGTCCATTAAAAGGAAAAACTAACAATGTAGAATATTATATAAAAATTACATTTTTTAAAGAAGATAATATTTAGAAGCTAACTGTAAAGACTGATCTGAAAAGAATATAGAAATTTGTATGATACTACGTAGAAGGTATAAAGAACAAGTAATTTAGTTATGATAATAAAATATAATTCTAACTAGCCAGGGAGGCTCCTCCACTGAGCGTATTGATGTCAATTTAAGGTTATAGCACAATAGCAACAAACAGTCTAATACACTTGGGAGAGGTATCCACGAAATAAGGAAAGTAGAAAACAGATTCTATGGAGCTTTGTTACTTGGCTCTTAGCGAGGTAAACAGATCCAGCGTGGAGCAAATGAAAACTTTTTTCTTTGAAGTATGGACAAGCAATACAAGACACACAAGGCATACAGTTTACATTTATCTATCCTTCACAACAATATCCCTTTAATCTATCATATTAACTTCTTATTTTTCTTTTTATATCTTGCAAAATGTTGGCGTTTTTATTTGCAAATCAAGCGTCGGATAAAAAAGGACGCAAATGAATAAAACGCACCACGAAGCATGCAAAACAAAAGAACAAAATTTTATACTGCGATTAAGGTTTTTTTTTTAAATATTTTTTAATCTGTTACTTGTGAAATTTGGAATCAAAGATCAAATTATTAACTGGCATAGAGAACTACCAGATATGCATGTGTATACATTGAAGAAATATATAAGCGGCTAATGCAATTAACTCAGTGATGAGTGTAAGGCCTGGACGAAGCAATAAAAACAATAAAAATGGATGGACATATTTATTTTTGCACGATAGTAACAATCGAATAGGAAAGGAATTTGATGCTATTCAATTTTAAAATAGTACATCTATTACAAAGTTAGTTTGAATTGTCAAACAACTGTTCAAAATATGTTTAAAAATTGATTTTGAGTTAATAAAATAACAATTAGATTTAAGCAATATATATCATAGTCAAAAGTAAATCAACAAACATGGTAGGAAATCAGATCCTGAAGATCACACGTCCATATATATGTTGTTCGTGGTATTGCTATATTTGTGATGTCCGGTGAAGAAATAGCTTTGCTTGTTAAGAAAGTAACTTAGAAATGTCATCCAAAAATAAACATTATTATAATTATCTACTTTGCAATAAATATAAAGCCAATACTTTCAATAGTACCAGGCAATCATGCTAATATCATTTAAATAGCTGATTATGATGCCAATAGTACCAGGCAATCATGCTAATATCATTTTAAATAGCTGATTATGATGCCAATAGTACCAGGCAATCATGCTAATATCATTTTAAATAGCTGATTATGATGCCAATAGTACCAGGCAATCATGCTAATATCATTTTAAATAGCTCGCACAAGTATTTAGCAATATGTTTCATTCTTTTCTCTCCACGGATGACTCAGTACTTATATATCTCTAACCACCATTGGCTGTACCACCAGAATGTCTTCCACCATATCACCTAATGTTTTAATCGTGTTTCTTATATTATTGTGTAGTTCTTTTAAATGACCAAAAGCTTGTGCTCTTTTATTTTCAGTCTTTTGCAATAGAGATTATTTAGGGGTTGTTTTTGTTCCATATGTTTCTTTTCCCGTCTTTCGCTTTGGCATCTGTTTGACTGTCATTCATCTCAACATCTGGCTTTAACAGGTCATTCCCAAGCCTTTTGCCTATTTCGCATTTTCGTCACATATTGGCTCCTTTATTTCAACCGAACTTTAATCTGTTTTTTTGTTTTTTTGGTTTTGTTTTTTGTTGGTTTTTTTTTTTTGCTTTCTCGGGAATTAGCATTAACTATCTATTCGTAAATGTTAACTCCCTGAGTCGTTTATGTTTATGTTTCTTGAAAGCCTGGAAGAATATAATTTTTAAAATAGAGGCTTTAGAAGCATTTGTGTTTAAGATGTTTGTTTTTCCACTAATGGTTCCATTCGTTTTCTTTCTTTTATCCAAGACTTTGGAAAATCAATGTCGACATTTTTGTAAAGCAGCGTAGTTTTGTGATCTTGTTCTTTTTGATAAAGCAATGTTCTTCTATACATTTTAAGTGATGATTATTTGCTTCCGGTATGCTTAATAGCACCTTTTTCAGTAAAACGTTATATTTGCATTCCTGTCTTTAAGCTGCAGATAGAGGTGATCATTTACCCTTCTTTTGAGTTGTTAGAATCTTATAATGTTATTCAAGCTCGTTAAAATCTTCGAAATTTCCACGAGCACATTCTTCTAGATTTGCAATATTTCAAAGGAGCATCAAGTTGAACAAGAAATGGGTTTTACAGATAATGAATGTAAAAAAACAAACAAACATGTAAGCATCACTGAAGAAGCAAACATACACGATTAAAAAGTATTTGGAAAACAAATCAAGAAAATCAACTTTTCAGCATGAGATTAGATTAAAGATCCAAATCAATGTCAGCTGTTGTCATTTGATCAGTAACATCTCTGATAAACATGCTACAGAGCGATGACGTAAATAACATGGTGTAAAAAGATTACATGGCAACAAATGGAATTAGACCATTTCATTGATTTATGCAGTTTATGTTTAAGTACCGCAACCTGTGCTGAGTAGTAGCTTCTTGTCATTTAAATCCATCAGTTTTGAAATCAAGTTAAGTAACATAATAAGTCTAAAAATAAAGCACTAAATTGATTTGTTTCTTTGCAGTTTGTTGCTATTTTACGAGAATGTAAATCTCCAGCATAGTTTAATATTTCAAATATGATTTATAAACTTTAATCTGTTGTATAGTTAGTGGTATAAATAAGTTCTACTTGTTATTGCGTTCTGATATTTCTTATTCTACCAGATTTGAAAATGCATAAAAAGCTTTCATTCGAGGTGGACGCTCTAACAACTAGGACACCGGAGCGGTTGCCAGAAAAATAAGTAAGTAAATAAATAGTGTAAGAAATGAATAGAGTCGGATAGAAAGTGGACGCAAGGAGGTTAATTGCAGTTTAGAGCTAAAAAGCGAGATAAAATTTACCTGAACACGAAGTTCAGTTAGTTTAGTGGCTACAGGTTTCAGTGAAAAGTTGATCTACACGAACATCTTAAAGAACGTTGTAATAGGATCCTCTGTTTTAAATAACTCGAACACAATTGATGATATGGTCAGTAAGGTAATATTTGGTAAGATAATATGTCCATGAGATAGCCACTGCGAAGGACAGATGCAGAGATGAAGAATAAAATGAGGAACAAAGTTTGTGAACAGAGCAATTTTATCTCTTCACTATTTAAATTAAAAATGGTAAGGTATATTTACCGAGATCCTGAGAAATTAAAGACTATGTTTTATACATGGTTTTTTCCATATTTTCAATAAACGAAGATAGATATATTTTATTACATCAACGAATAGTGTGAGAAAGCACTGTTTAACTACTGATGGAATATATAACCTTGGCATCGACATGAACAATATTAAAGAGAAAATGACTGATGTTGATGACGTCAAGGAAAGCATTGACTTGGGGTGATTGAAACAGTTCTAAAGCTGTCATCACAAACTGCTTTATTAAAAACTGAAGTATTCATTTAACTTTTTAGTTCCAAACAAAAAATTGTTTCACAAGCAATATAACATGCTGGTAGCTTTTTCCAAGACGGTATGGTAAATGGAATCTGAATAAAAATATATCCTGAAAGCGAATCGAACAGTTCAGTCTATATTAAATTTTGAAGAAATATATATATATATATATATATATATATATATATATATATATATATATATATATATATATATATATATATAATATTAAGAACGCAAAGTTTCGTTGGAAACGAGGGCTTTGTACCTTGTTTTCCACGTCACTGACTTAACAACCCCTACTAAATATTTTTTTTTCACTTTCTGTCCATTTACCTCCCCATCCAATACATAATCACATGGAAGGTTCAAATAAATATAAAAACAATTTATACAAGAAACTGATAAATCTTGATCACATGTCACATGCATTAATTACTGTATAAGCTGTTTTCGTTTCTGTTAATGGCATAAAAAACGTACTGTTTTGCATACCATCTTTATTTGCTTCAATTTCTGGAGCTTTATCTTTGTTTTCTCTATCAGTCCATTTTCCACTATCCATCAAATTAGCCTCAATATGTTTTTACTCATC